AAAAACACACACACGCCGAAAATATAAAAAAAAAAAAAAAAAGGCACACACAAAGTAAAAAAAAAAAAAAAAAAAAAAAAAAAAAAAAAAAAAAAAAAAAAAAAATGAAAATAGCAATATAATATACAGTATAACAGTGTATAGGGAAGGAATCACCTCGGAATCTATTAAACAATACTACAATGCTATATTGTATCGTTATATTAAATGAGAAAAGTTGCGCTCAAAAGTTTAGATAATTTCGATTCAAATGAGGTCGAAAAGCTTTAAATGCAATCCTATTTTTGACATTATGTATCACCAAAGATAGTAAGTTTCCGAATTAAGAATAAGCACGTTCATAAACAAATTTTTGCATAAAAATTCACGTACACTCACTTCCTCATTTGAAATCATACTAACCTTTCCAATGTATGGACAAAAACGTTGTAAAAGATTAATGTACAGGGTGGCAATTTCATTTAATTAAGTATAACGACCATTTAGGAAAGGTCCTATTTATCCAGACAGGATTAAATGGAGTGAATACTTTATTTCCAAGTTTTTTTTTCTCAACGTGTGGTTGGTTTTTTTTTTTTTTCTTTCGAAAATTCAAGTATTCACAATGAATAATTTGAAGGTTTATATATTATCATTTGTCGCCTTGGCATTCTTCATCACACCGGCGTTATCAGACCCATGCACCAAAATTGCTAACGCGCAAGCAGCAAGTCATTTATATGATGACGCTAAAGCGTGTTTTTTGAGCAATCCGTTTAACGCCAGCATAGCGAAAGCTGTATGTTTTTAATATTTGCATTCTTTGAAGTTTAAATTCTTTGTCAAATAAATGCTCATGTCTTTCTTCTTTTTACTTCGACAGACGCTTTTGACGTTAAGTGATATATTCAAGGATTTATACGTTTTCACGGATCAATCCAAAGAACCCCCAGAAAATGGATTTGACTTTACGCCGATGGATATTCTAAAAGTTCTTGACACATTCCTCGACAACAAACATTACACCACGGATTTCGAGTTTTACGTATGTTCTTGATTTCACTGACATACTATCATATTTATTGCATTATCCATCCGTTTATGATTGACTCTCAAAAAACAAAAAACTATAGAAAGATTTGCGCTTTACCATTAAGAAGCTGCGTGACGGTCACACGGACCTTATATCTGGTTGCTATTTTTATAATGTGCTGTTTGACCAACAAATATATTTGTACTCTGTGGTTGAAAATGAAAAGCAGGTGACGAACGCCACTCGTATATTGTGCATATGCTTTTCAACAGAGATTAACTTGAATAAATCAAATAATATGTAGTTAATAAAAGTTTTCGATGATTCGGTTGATCGGAAAAACGTGGACTGTGAGGTAACACACATCAATTCGAAACCCGCTCTTCAAGTGATCACAGAATTCGCTAGGACTCAATTATCCACGTCAAGAGATCTGGGAGTTCGATTCAACGATGCCCTTGTTTCCGTAAGTCAGACAAAAATCGCTTTTACTTCAAACCTATTCTCCGTGAGAAACGATCTGCCCGAATCCGGGTCCATCACCTATTCTCTGAAGTGCCCAAATCGGAAGCCGTTTCAGCTTACGCGAAAATGGAGCATTATCACAAACACCTTTTCGCGGTGGAACGACACAAAGACTTTTCAACAATACTGTTCTTCTACTTTTCCAATTTCATCTATTCCAGAACAAAAGAATGCCTCAAGTTCCACTTACGGGAAGGCCGAGTTGGTATTTGAAGGAACAGCGGCGAACGCATACACCATAGGAAAAGACCTCGGAGTAGTCGAGATAAATACCTTTTCCTTCCATAGGGTCCGTGGATTTATTGAGATCGGCTATAAATTGGCATTGCAAGAGTTAGCTAAAAGGGGAGTCAAAAAGGTATTCTCACCATTTTCACAGTACCAAATTTTCGATTAGCTTAAATCTTTATTAGTCGAGTTAAATAGTTCGTTATTCCTTGCAGGTCGTGATAGACTTCTCGAATAACCCCGGCGGATTTATCACTTTCTCTATTTTCCTTAATGGATTGTTGGTTCCGTCTAAACACATTGCATTTCCAACAGACCTTAGGGTCCCACCGATAATTCAGAAGGCCATTCAAAGGGAAAGCGGATCAAATGACTCCGGAGGTTTCTATCAAGCAAGTGGTTGGAATTCCTTTGTCACTGGGAAACCCTTTACTAGTGCGGATCAATTTATTGGTAACCGAAGTTTAACCCGTGGTGGCACAACCAATAGATATTCGGCGTTGTTTAATGATATTTTAACGGATCAGGAAATCAATGAACTGAAAAAAAAAACAAAATTCCCTTGGGACAAAGACTCCATAATTATTCTGACAAATGGTCATTGTGCATCAGCTTGTGCACTGGCCTCACAGTACCTCACGGAAATCGGTCAGTATCAAACAGTTGCCGTAGGAGGATTTCTTAATCAATCGTTATCGTTTTCTACATTCCCCGGCGGGGAGTTACTCAATGACGGAATACTTCCGGAAATAAATGCGCCTCATCAGTTCCAATCCAATTTGGCTTTTTCATTCACCATTCGAGAAGCATATAGCCTGAAGAATTTGACAGAAGTCCTGGATTTTAAATACAAGCCTGCGGATCATAGATTGTCTTATGATGAGAGGAATGCCAGGGATATTAGTTTATTATGGGAACAGGCCGCGAGCTTCTTAAAATAATATTTTTAAAATGAAATAGAATGCACAAGTCATTACTGCATATCAGCAAATATTTATAAAATAATTAATCCCTCGCAACATCAAAATTCTGTAGATGTTATTACAACAGAAATAGGAAAACCAATATAACATGCTGCATTTGAATTTTGAAAATTTTAAAGAAGTTTTTTCTTAGTAAATAATAATAGAATAATTAGATTAAAATTGATTATTTATCTTCAAAAAATTCCAATCAAATTTGTATTGTTTTAATTATCAAAACCATTAATAAATTAGTCACTTAAAAAGTTTTGATTCGATAATATTTGTAAAAAAAATTTTTTTTTTTTTTTTATATTATAATAAATTTGATATTGTATATAGTTTGGACAAACTTTTTTACGCTCATTTTTTATTTTATTTCTATTTATAATTTAATAACTATTTTATAAAATTCAATAAATTAGTAAATATATATATATATTTAAGAATATAAATAATAGGATTATTAAAAAATTTTTATAATAACAAATTGTTATAATTATTTTAATATAAATTTATGAAATAAAGAAATAAATATATAAACTAAAAGTTAAGTTTGGTAATATATATATATATATACTTTATATGGATCTAGTATTAAATTACTATTTTTAAACTTTAATATAATTTATTTAATTTTCATTTTTAAAATTAATTCTAAAAAAAATTTTTTAAAAAAAAAACCATTATTATATTATTAAATCTCATTAACAATTCTTTTATATAAAAAAAAAAAATTTTTTTTTATTATAATAAATATTTGATTATTTGATTATTTTACATATTAATTGATGTATTAAAATTGATAAAAAATAATTTTTAATTATTTTTTTAACTTGAAATCATTTTTTTGAATTAAAATTATCAATTAATTATTATTAAAACTTAAATATTTTAAATTGAATTACAAATTATACATATTTAAAATATTGTTTTGATTAAATAACTATTTATTAAATTATAATAAAAAATAAATGGTAAAAAATTTTGTTGCAAACTATATACTTAAATATAATTTAGCAAAACGGTTTGAATATATGTATAAGATGTTACAAGATAATAATAATAATAGCAATAATAATAAATTATGAATATTATATTTAAATTAATAAAAATTTGATAAAATTATTTTAATGATATTGATACTTATTAGAATTTTAAATTTAAAACTTAAAATAAAGTATTGTTTTATTTTATTTTTTAATATTAACTCATCATTACATCCAGTATAAATTACATTATTGATAAAAAAAATCATGCCTAAGAACAATTGAGATAAATATTTACTTACATTGTTTAAAGATTTATAAACGGCTAAATAATTACACCTTTTTCTCTACCCTTTTATTTACTTATTTATTTTTATTTTTGAGCCTACTTTTTTTTTTTGTTTTTTGTTTTTTTTTTTTTTTTTACGCATTTAATTTCTCGATAGCCTAATTAAAACCATGAAAAAATATTTTAATATAATTTCATATTTTTAAAAAAATTCGATAATTTTGATTTTAAATAGTCAACACGAGTTTTGAATAACCGCAAATATTTAAAGAAAGTACCTACCTAATTTAGTATATTTGGTGCTATCGTCAGATCCTCGCAAAGTTTGGCTTCTTTAAATAATCATTGTCCGAAATTAACGGAATAATGGATATTGTACAAATTTAGATTAGATAAAATTGTTCAAAGGTTTTTAAGCAGCCTTTAGAAGCAGGCAGCATTACTGGTTTTCCGAAAAATATTTATAATGTTATGTTATCCAATCTATTTATATTGATTTAATTATTTAAAAGTCTTTGGACTTCTAAATTTGCAGTTTGTTAGTCAGGTTTCGGTCAAGGCCTTGATTTAAAAAAATGATTTTTGGTGAGGATGAGCCATGAGGATATGACGAGATATTTTTCTTCTCAAATATTAAAGAATGGTATAAAAAATTTCTTACCATTTAACGGTTTCTTTGAAATAAAATGATGGGTGAACATTGAATTCAAATCAGCGGCCACAACAAACAAACAAACAAAAACCTCCCTTTATCTCACGTTAGAAAATCTACCACAGCAATTCTCGTTTGCGTTAATAATGACGAAATTCTCATTATGTAAAAGTTCTTTGGCAACTCATAATAATAAAAACCTTGTGGAATTAATATTCACTTTATCTCCTTTTGATGTTAATTATTTGAAATTCATTATACGTGAACTGAAAAATCATCCACTTTACAACTTTATATACTGTATCTAATACTTTCTTTTCAAGAGTTATGTGTGAGCTATTATCACGGTTACTGTTGAAAAAGCCAAACTAGAAACTTAAAATTAAGAAAGATTGTGTTTTTCCTCAAATAGAGTTTCCAAAGAAAGGGTGACATTGTGAAATTCATGAAACTATTGCCTATGAACGAAAAAGGAAACAGAGATGATCCATCATTTGAAAAGTTTTAAAGTCGTCGTCTTTTTGTTAAATTAAAGAGAATAGAAAGAAGACAATCTCCCGAAGATAGCTTACTGCGTCTAAGAGTGTAGAGATTTTTCTTATCAATATTGGAAATTACTAAACGTCGCCTTTCTGCGTATAAATTTACTAAAAGTAGTTCATTCGGGTTTCTATGATTTCATTTGCCTTGACAAAAAAGAATTTACAATTTATTCATTTGTAATATTTATTTAAATTATTGTCTCTTCTTTCACTAGTTTCTAATTAATTGTTGTGATTAAAAGACTTTACCGCATAATTTACTAATAAACTTGCAGAATAAATGTCTCTATTCTTGAGAAGATGGTGGAAAAAATAGCGGAAAGCTGAAGTGTTGAAATAATTACAGATTGAAGGTTTCTCGCCATGATGATTGCATGTTGTTTGCGTGCAATATTTCCTTTCATGAAAGTACTGTGCTTGTGCACACCTTTCACAAAAGTACTTTTGGATAACTTTATCCTTTTTTGGATTCCTTTATTTTATCTTTATTTTTTTTTTTACTGGCGGATCAAAAAATACTCGAATAACAACAATAGCAAGCGACCAATCCTTTCTTTACACAAACATAAATAAGAAATATATGTAACGTCAACATTTCTTATAAGTAAATTATGTAGTGATTAGGAGATCTGTTTACAGTATTGTCCAACGTTTATTCAATTATAAAGATAAAAATGGAATTTCTTTCCGGTTTGGTCGATCTTCAAATTTAGAAAAGTAAGATGTTACTTATTGTAGGTTGAGATTATTTAAAAAACAATGATTATATCGATTGAACGTAAAACTTCTTTCTGTTCGAAATCAATAAAATACATAAAAATAAAAAATGTTGAAAGATCTGTTCAAAAGACCGCACAAAGCAGAGCCATCGACAATTTTTAATTTTCGACGGGTCTTTATTCTTACTCTTATTTCGTTGCTAATAATTTTCGCGGTTGTTATGATCTTGAGATTATCCAAGGATCAACCTGTTTTAACCAGAACTCTTATAGCTGTCGATAGTATACCTATGGCAGGTATGTAATAATGATCACAAAAGAGCTAACCGAGATAGTTTAAAATTAAATATAAACCAATGTAGATGTATATTTCTCCTGGGATGTTCCATTCAATATTACTTGTACCTCCTCTAGTATGTAACACATTAATATCTTTTGCTATTGACCGGTTGTTGCTATTCTCACATACCCTTATACATTCTAAAGACGACGAATGCAGTTCGTCAATCAGTCAACCGACCTTTTATACCGGGAACCTTTCTCGTCCTTATATTGGAGGTTTTTTAAGTAATTTGAATTTGACCTGGAACAGTTACATCGACCTTTATATAATCGCTAACAATAAAACCAACATAAGCGCCTCGTCATTTTACTTGGAAATGAACATGTTTGACCGAGGTCCTTTATACAGAATACTGCATAACTTTAACAAAAATTCCATTGTTTTCAAAAATCAATAACATCATTCTGCTACCAATAATAGAATACGATCCATGGAGCGATAATTTTAATGACAATGGAAGTTTATTCGCCCAGTCACTTTCCTATGAGAATTTATACTACTTATCAGCATCTAGCGTATGTATTCTTGAAATTTATTTTTAGCGTAATTTTTGAACTTGAAATATCATTAACAAAATCATCAAAAATTCAGTTTAGTATGATTTCTTACTCAAGAGTAACTCAGAAAGCGATAGGAAACTCAGTTTTAAATTACATTGGTTTTTTATCAACATACAAAATGCAAGCATTTATTGAGTCAACATTCCGTAAGGATATTTATTTGAAAAGGCCTATTATATGTTTGACATTTTATATATTTTGCGCTAATTCTGTTCGCGTTATCGGTTAATAACCACAGAGACGGTATCGTTTAACGAATCGGAAGCCTACGCCAGAGTGGAGATTTCTCCGAGTAGTTTGATAGTGGCAGAGCAAAAGGAGCAGAGGTAAACAAAATTTGTTTTCAATAGAACAAGTTTTGTCACTCTTACCTATTAACGCTTCTTCACATACTAAAATGGCAACAAAAATAGAGCAAATACCGTAAGTGACATCGTTTTCGTTTGCAATCACGTACTTTGTTAAATTACTAATACGTAGTCACGTATAATTTTAATTATTAGCTTATGACCATAGCAGGGACGATTTTTGCTTATTATGGTTTTATTTTAACTGTTTATGCATTTTTATTCGGTAAATGATAAAAAATTTTTTCAAAAATTCGATCACCTCATCCCGTCAATTCTTACCTTTTTTTAAATATTCTTAGGGGTTGGTGTAATCAATCCATGGGGTGCCGTACAGAGTGGATTTTTTGGAATAGCTAAAAAGAAAATTACGTATGGTCATATACAATTCGAGGCTTCTAACATAACGGAAAGTGAAAATTTGGAGCAAAGGATCAGAGATTTGGAAGAATTCAAAATTCATCTTCATGAAAATGTCTTGGATCTATCTTTATTAGATTCAGAAAGAAAAGCTGTCGGGAAAGAGGACGTGTGATAA